CCGGCCCGTAGCCTCCCCACCGCGGGCGTTCTCTTCCACGTCCAGCTGCTGTCTCGTCCAAGCCGTTGCTGGCGCCGCCGGGCCTCGCTAGTCCGGCCGTTGCTGCCGCCGCCGGGGCTCGTCCAGCCATCGCCAACTCCGGCCTCTCCGGCCGTCGCCGCCTCCCGGCCTCTCCTCCGCCTCCGAGGCCCGTCCTGCTGCAGCTCCTCCCGACCTCCCCTGCCGCCCGTACGCCACAGTTGCTGCAGCTCCGCCCGTCCGCCGTATGGCCGCAGCGCCTCCCGGTCTCTCCAGCCGCTGCCGCCAGTTCTTGTCCCGCCCAGGCTGGCCGCTGCTGCTCCCCGCTAGCGTTTTTCTCGAGGGAGCATCTGCCTCGATCCAGCCCCGATCCAGATCGGGTCATCTCTCTGTTGACCAAAAAAAGAGGCATAAACATCGGAGTGATTTCCTCATGTCCTCTTCGGGCTATGTCACGGTCCCTCGGTGCTCGGTGATCTTCGATGGCACCAACTATGCTGAGTTTGCGGGGTTCATGCGTATCCATATGCGCGGTCTTCTTCTGTGGGGCGTCCTATCTGGCGAGGTCTCCTATCCGTTGTGCCCTGTTGCTCCTGTGGCCCCTACCCCGCCGGTGCCGCCGGTTCTTGCGGCCAATGCTTCTCAGGCTGATCGCGATGTAGCCAAGGCGCTTGATGATGCTGTTGTTGATGCTTATGATCAGCAGGTATCTGTCTATTCCGATGCTCTCTCTGTCTATCGGGATGATCTGTCTGCCTACACTCAGTGGTGCAATGATGATGCTCGTGCTGCTGCTGTTCTTATTGCGAGTGTCCTTCCTCGGTTTGCTTCGGAGTTCATGGGCCTCGACACTGTTGCAGCGATGTGGTCTTATCTCTGTCAGCGCTATCAGCCCTCTGGTGATGCTCTTTACTTATCTATGGTGCGACAGGAGCATGCTCTTCAGCAGGGTGACTCATCTGTTGACGAGTTCTACACACAGAGTTCTGCCATCTGGCATCAACTGGACTCTCTTCGGACAGTTGTTTGTGGATCATGCCGCTGTTGTCAGACTATGCGGTCCGACTTGGAGTTTCAGCGTGTCCATGAGTTCTTATCTCGCCTCCGCTCCGAGTTTGAGCCTCGACGTGCTCACTTGCTTGCTCGTGGTCGTGTTCCCGTCTCGGAGGTACTTGCTGATCTTCGTGCTGAGGAGACCCGTCTGCACTCTGCCGGGTTGCTGGCGGTTCCGTCTGTCTTGGCTGCTCGGGCTCCAGTGTCGGCTGCTCGGCTCACTGCTCCACCGCTCCTACCTACACCTTCAGGGGGTGGGTCGCCCTCCTTATGCTGAAAAGGGCCGGTCGCGCCTGGTTTGAGCGCTTTGTCTCTGTGGTCACTGCCTCTGGTTTCTTGCCAAGTGATCATGACCCCGCGATGTTTGTCCACACGTCTCCTTGTGGTCGGACTCTTCTCCTTCTCTATGTTGATGATATGATCATTACTGGTGACGACTCTGAGTACATTGCCTTTGTTAAGGCTCGCCTTCGAGACCAGTTCCTCATGACTGATCTTGGTCCTCTTCGCTATTTTCTTGGGATTGAGATCTCCTCGACCTCTGATGGCTTCTACATCTCTCAAGAAAAATATATTCAGAATCTTCTTGCTCGTGCTGCTCTTGGTGATGAGCGCACAGTTGTGACTCCTATGGAGCCCAACGTTCAGCTTCGTGCCTCTGATGGTGAGCCTCTTCCTAATCCCACTCACTATCGTCACCTCGTTGGCAGCCTTGTCTATCTTGCTGTTACGCGTCCTGACATCTCCTATCCTGTCCACATCCTGAGTCAGTTTGTTTCAGCCCCCACCTCTGTCCACTATAGTCACCTTCTCTGTGTTCTACGATATTTTCGTGGCACGATCTCTCAGCGCCTTTTCTTTCCCCGCTCCAGCTCTCTTGAGCTCCAGGCCTACTCTGATGCTACCTGGGCTAGTGATCCCTCTGATCGACGTTCGCTGTCTATTTACTGTGTCTTTCTTGGTGGCTCTCTTATTGCCTGGAAGACAAAGAAGCAGACTGCAGTTTCTCGCTCGAGTACAGAGGCTGAGTTGCGAGCCATGGCTATGTTGACGGCTGAGGTGATCTGGTTACGGTGGTTACTTGAGGACTTTGGTGTGTCTGCTACTACCTCAACTCCTCTATTGTCCGACAGTACCGGTGCTATCAGTATTGCACGTGACCTGGTGAAGCATGAGCTCACCAAGCACATCGATGTGGATGCCCACTTTGTGCGTGCGGCGGTGCAGGATCAGACTCTCGCTCTTCACTATGTGCCCTCTGAGTTACAGTTGGCTGACTTTTTCACGAAGGCACAGACTCGAGCGCAGCATGGATTTTTCCTCTCCAAACTCAGTGTTGTTGATCCACCATGAGTTTGAGGGGGGTGTTAAATGTGTATAGTTTATTGTGTACATCCCTATTGTATAAGGGGCTTTTCTGCACTTTACCACATCTGTATATGTACTGGCCACTGGCCCTCAGTAAAGTTAGTTGCTCATTATCCAACACGCTCCATCTTGTTGCAGCTGATCTCAGTTGCGGTCTTGCCATTTGCTTAACAGGTAGCTGGCCCAGATCATTCAAAAAGCGCTGAATAAAACAAAAATTCGACAGTGGTGGCTGAAAGATGTCTTCATGAATCGCCTTGCGCCTTGCCCACCAGATTGACCACAATGTCACCAAGGTTTTCACGAAGAATTCTTGTCCCATCGATTCTTGTGGTTCTACTAACCACAGGTGTGTGTCATTC